TATATATATATATATATATATATATATATATATACACAGTACACAGTGGTGGCCAAAATTGTTAGAATACCTGACAGATCTGAAAATATTTTGCCTCCAAAACATGATTTAATTTCATAATGTTCATGAAACATGCAGATGGTTTCAGAGCACAACAAATATCAGATGAAGTGAGTCGTACTGTTTTTATCCACTTTTAATTTTAATATTTGGTATGTCCACCTTTTGCAGCAATTACAGCAGCACATCTCTCTTGAATAGTGTCAATATATTTCCTGAGAAGTTCAACACTAATGTTATCGCATACCTTCTGCAACTCAAGCCAAAGGCTTTCCTTTGAACGTACAATAGACCTGTCCAGTTTATTTTCTAACTCGCCCCAAATTTGCTCGATGGGGTTGAGGTCCGGGCTTTGAGGGGGCCAGTCCATCATTTTCAATGTTCCAGCAGATTCCTTCCATCGCAGTTCTGGCAATAGTTTGTTTTATGGGTATTGTAATAGCCAATTAAACAAAAACAACTGAAACCTCTTTAATATGCCAAGTGTTCTAACAATTTTGGCCACCACTGTATAATTTAAGGTACTGTTCATTTTGGTTACACTCTGACGTTTGGCAATAGTCTTACCAGTTCTCTGGGCAAAAACTCCTCTTGTCTTCCGACTACCAGAGACACAGTTTCTCCCAGTTTGGTGCTCCGGAGCATAGCCACCAGCTCCTCTTGTGTGCGTCCTGTGATGTCCACTCCATTTACCTAGAGAAAGAGAGAAAGCTATTTCCTGTAACCGTCAAAACGGAGACCAAAATTTCCATTTACACTGTGCCGAGATGGCAAACATGTCAGTGTTAATTCCATCTCACGGCCAGGTGCAATACAAGACAGACAATTGGCCTAATTACATCAAGGATGCATTAAGCCTTCTGAAACAATATCTTTAAATTGCATTAAAACAATACCTTTTAATTGCATGACTGGCGGGATTGGAATAGCATAATTTAATATCCTATAAATAAGCTGTGATTTTGCATTTTCCAGGTTGAGCTCTCGTGACTGCATTGACGCAGGATGCATGTAATACCTCCAGGATACGGTCTCCGGACTTGAGCCGCCCGTCTTTAACAGCAGCTCCGCGGGGCAGGATGCTCTTGATCATAATGGGTCCTGGACCATGAAGGGACGAGTCTCTGGTTACCACGGTGAATCCGAGGCCCTCCATACCTGCAGACAGAGGAAGGCCAGAAACATTAAGCATGTATTTAATGACCTAGTGAACCAGAAAACCAGACAAATTCTTTGCCATTTTCACAAATTCTTGCCGTTTTCACCAGTGTGTTGTATACTCAGCCGTGTGGAAAACAAAAGCTAAACTAACATCTGAAAATAGTTTACCCCGTCATATGATGTAAAATAACATTCTTCTAAGGTTCCGGTCACCAAAAAAGTGTGTTTGCATTTACACCCCCCAATTACACTCACTAAGGTGTCAAATAAAATATAGGAGATATTTAAGACATGTTGAAAAAGTACATAATTGTTCCACTAAAATTCCTTCAACAGTGTCCTGAAGACTTGCTAACATCCTAAGGATCTAGTTACAGTAAGGAATATTGCCCTGGATTTTCACCTTAGTGCTATTCATACCAAGTGAACTGATCATTTTCGTCATGCAATGAGAAAATTTCACCAACAAAGGTGTGAATGTCAACAGAAATGAAGTTGAATCTGGAAATTTGGAAAGGTCTGCCAAAGAAAACTGCAAATGAAAGTTCCTTTTAAAATACTTCTCAGAATCAAAATTCAAATCTTTGAATTCAATTTTGCATTCTTCAAAACAATTAGACATTGAAAATTTGACATTGATTTTGAAAATTTGTTCTCTAAACTGTAACTGACACGAAAGAAACCTCAGTGCACTTTTTTTCCAATATTATAGCATTGTTTTCTATATCTATTACTAGTAAATTTCATAAAAGCCAATGTCAGTAGAGTGTCGCTATTATGACCAAAATCTGCTTTAGAAATTACGGACTATGAATATGGGTTTTCCAAAAGCGGATACTGATGTCTAGAGAGCAATATGGTGGAAATGATGCCAAGAACACATATATTAAATTTAATGATAGCATACAAGGAGCAGTTCCCCGTTATGACCCTCATAGATCTTTACATACTGTATCCAGCTCATCTGATCCAAGATCAGGTCAAAAGGTCAGCGGTACGCTGATGATAGCTTTCAAGCACTCTGGACTGATAACCTGTGTTTAAGCTGTCAGTTTCTCTGCAGAGGTTTGAACACCTCCGTCTCCACCCCTGCACGTTGATAAATGTTTCCTTGCAGGGATTAGACAGCTCTGCACTTTAATTTCACACATGAACACATCTACAGGAGACTAGAGATGCAGAGAGCAGGATACAGGATACAGGATGAGGAGGAGAGAGAGAGATGGTGTGTGAAAGGAGCGATAGAAACAATGAAAAGGGTGTGGTCTGAAAAAAAGTGATTAGAGGAAGTTGAAGCACTGGATGAAGGGAAGCTGAAAAGAGATGGAAGAGCGAATATCACAGAAACATGTCAGGGTCACATTTCACCCAAAAATCACTAGGGAGAAAAAAATGATATATTTTTTTTATTTTTGCAATGCAGAAACATTAATATTGTGTTTATATTAATTACATATGTTTTACATTTATTTGTGTATTTATTGCATAGATATGTACAGTATATGGGTCAAAGACGTTAAGATGTCCGCATCAAAATAAATTTACAAAAGTGATTTTATGTCCATAGAAACACATTAAATGTAAGTAAAAAAAGTAAGTGTCTACTTTTAAGGTTTGAAATTAGTTTTTGAAGGATAAAATGTCAAAATTTGGTTGAAATAATGTTACATTGTCATTCAGTGTAACACAATATTTATGTAAAAATTCAAACAACATGCTTATTCTGACATGTACATATTAAAATATATAAAATAAAGAATAAGGGAGCATATTACATTTTATTGTGTTTTAACGAAAAAGGGAGAAGAACAATCAGCTGCAAACAAAGCTGCTATGCAGCAGTTTTGACATGGGCTAAATCGCAGGGCTCATGACGGCACCTTCTGGTCAACTGAACAGAGTTTCTACTATTCAAACTCTAAATCAACATGAAATGCCATTCGCAACCCATTTTATGTGCATAATGTGATATAATTTTTGAGCAAAACTTTTTTTTAATTCAATGGGTACTGATCTGATTTCACATCCAGCTTACCTTTCTTCAAATCGATCTTCATTTTCTTCGCAGACTTTTTGTTGCTCATATTAACCAGCGTGACGAGGGCCGGGGTCTTTTTGGGGGTGGGGCTCTCGCTGCCATCTTTCAAGGTAGGTGACGCACTGACTGGAGGAGAAGGCGTGGCTCTTTGCTCAGAAAATCAAAAAAAAAAAAAAATTTAAATTAAACCGAAAACTTTTTTTTAAATTTTGGGAAAAACAACAATTTAAAACAGTATTACACTTATTGTTTTTATGCTTAAACCCGTTTTCGTCTTTGGCTGATATTTTAATATTCATTGCATAAATATTCATATTTTTATTTATACTGTATTAAATTATTTTGCAAACACACAGACACACACACACAAACAAAAGTACACAGACAAATTAAAACATTTAAAACAGAGAAAAAAAAAACTGGAACTAAACCAAAACCTGTTTTATCAGTTTAATGGCACAATCATTTTGAGCATTTACCCTCATACTTGATGTTTGGTACTGCCGCAGTAACGCAATAATGCATGCAAGTATATGAAACACATGTTTGCAATGCACTGAACCAGCATCCGCATCCGTGCACTTGTGAAGAGTATGTTTCTGGCCTACAGCAGTCAGTGCATTTAAATCACAAACCCACACACAAAAGCTAAAGTATTCACCGGCTACTTTGTACTCTTGTCAACACACACTGCAAATCCATTTGCTGTTTATGTCCTGCGGGACGACATTAATGACCAAGCAAATGAGCCGAAAGCCAGTGGAGTCACTGCCATTCAGTGAGTCTGAGATGAGAGCCGAAGGCAAAGGTGCCTACCTGCATCTCCCATCACAATAAAGACAGAACAGAGGAGAGGAGGAGATGACAGAGAGAAAGAGAGAGAGAGAGAGAGAGATTGTTTTTTTTGTTTTATTTTGATCATATGCATTTTTCAGTTTATTTTATTATTTTATTTTGTTATTTTATTTCATTTTTTTTTATATAAATTTTCTTTTCTTTTATTTATATGTTTTGTAAGGTGTTTGTTATTACTCTTGATTAAATTTGGACAAACTCGTATTACAGATTTACAGTATTTGTCTGGCTGATGATAAAACAGGCAAAAAAAATCTTGCAGATTTAGACCCATTTAGTTTATTTTTTTATATTTTTTTTTTTATATATTTTTAATATTTGCATTTATTTTTTACTTTATTTTAGTTAGTTTTATTTTACTTTTGTGGTGTTTTCAAATGTATCTGCTATTACTCTTGCCCTAAGGGCTTTTATTTTTCATTGGCTCAAGTTAAAAAATATAGATGTGAATCATTACCCTAAATTTTTTTTAATTGGATGAATTAAACGTTTTTTTCAGTGAAGTTGTCTACCATTACATTTTCTTGCATTTGAACAAACTCATATTACATACTTATTACATAATATTTGCCTAATGGATGATAAAACAGTCAAAAACTCCTATAAACGTGCACTGAATGAGGCATCCGAACTATAGCCAGAGACAAGAAATTTCTGTCACTGTTATTTATATTTTTTCTTTGGTGATATCATGTGTAAATCATACAAAAAAAGCTGTGACTGAGGCACCAAAGTACACACCATTCAATAATATTTCCCACAGTTTCTGTCCATTTGTTGGCTGAACAGTCAAATTTAATGCTCTACTATTCCTTCAAAGCTTCATTTTTATTTGTGTCAAATTAAATGGCATCTTATCTGACTTCACCCACAGCATCTACCCAACTTATCCAGCTGAAGAAAATGACTAGACCTAAAAAGTTTAATAGTAACTATATAGTAGGAATGGGAAGTGATTTTATCTCAGAGAATACAGAGAACATACATAAGCACTCTTATTAAAACGTGATTGAATCCCAGATGGACCTCAGGGGCTTCAGCTGAGGTGATGCAATACTGTAGACCACTTCAATGTTTAATGAGCTGTAAAAGTGTGTGTGTGTGTGTGTGTGTGTGTGTGCATCAGTAATGCTGATTGACAGAAGCGGTGAAGAGAGGCGAGAGATAAACTCCATCCCTCTCTCAGGGAGAAGAAATGAGTTCACATGACCTGCGATAAGAGGAACGAATTGAAAAAACGTGACATATGTACGTCTCCCGTCCTGTGACTATTGCAACAAGTGTACATATTAAGACCGGGAACTTCGATATACACACATAAGCTTGTGCTGCTCTCGTACGTCTCAACGTGAAATCATCTACTGAAATCACAATGCTCAGAAGAGCCAAACCTTCCAGGCTAAGTTCAGTTCTGCCGTTTCCATTATTTCAGCTTGATAAGAATTTCAATAGCAAAAGCTGCTTCTAGATAAGCATTAAAAAGCTTGTTTAAGTACGTGACATTAAACCTGACTTTTAAACATGAATGAACAGTTGAAATAGTATACAGTTCAATGCTTAAAAAAAGTGCTTTACAATCCTTAAACACTTGTTAAACGAGGCTCTTTTAAAAATAAATATCACATAATCAGTTGATCAGAATACATCAAATTAATGCAAACTAAATTAAAATACATTAAAATGGAAAGAATTGAATTAATAAATGAATTAATAAATCAACAATTGAACTATGAAAAATAAATATGTAAAATAAATGTAAGTAAATACACACATTTAAAAAATAAAGTAGTTAATAAATGTTAATATCTATGTATTTAAATATTTATTTAAAAAATAACCAAATATAAATAAAGATAAGTACATATAAAATGTGTCAACGAAGACCTCATGTCCACCCACACACACACAGAAATAACCTTAATTTGACAACAAAGAACCTTTCATAAAACAAAGATCCAAATTCATCTCAGTGCAGACTGATGCTTGAAATGAATACTCAATTATTATTATTTCATACCCCCATTTTGAGTGTTTATACATAATCATACACTAAGCATACACGAACTCCCTCACCTTAAGTCGACTTGTGCAGTCCTGGAGTTTGGGACGTCCACCTTGGGTTTGTCCATGGCTCCTCCCTTCACAGAGGTTGCATGACCGACACCCTGTCAACACAAACACACACTCACCATGACTTCAGTTACTCTACAGGACCCAAAACAACCACACCACGCTTCAGTGTCGCCTACTGAGCAGGACGCCGATAGTGTTGAACACAGTTGGCACTGAAATGCTATAACTGCGTCCTTGCCGTCTTTCTCTCGCTGTCCACCTTTCATTTCTTTTTAAGCGATTAATATCTCATCTGGAAACGGCAATCAAAACAGATAAAAGGCAAATGAAAAGAAAACAAACACAAAGATGAAGAAAAACAAAATGATGCACCATAAAAGGGAAAGTCCACTTTCCTCACCGTGGAGCAGTCACTAATTCTGGTCCACAATGCACCCTGTTCTCCACCCAAACATACACACACATACACACAAACACATGGGACCACCCCTCACGGGACGCAGAAAACACACAAAAAGTGACCTAGATAATATGAGTAGAGAGCAATTATCCCCCCGCTAGGCCACATGCTCCTGAGGGCCACAGGGCCAGCAGAACTGGCAGGGCTATTGTTAATGTGCATCTCCCTCCTGTACTGAGTGCACACTGTTCACATGAGGATGACAACCCAGAGATAGAGAGGCTTTAATGGAAAGAGGGTCGGATGACATAATAGTTCTGTGCTTTACAATCCTTAAACACTTGTTAAACGAGGCTCTTTTAAAAATAAATATCACATAATCAGTTGATCAGAATACATCAAATTAATGCAAACTAAATTAAAATACATTAAAATGGAAAGAATTGAATTAATAAATGAATAAATCAACAATTGAACTATGAAAAATAAATATGTAAAATAAATGTAAGTAAATACACACATTTAAAAAATAAAGTAGTTAATAAATGTTAATATCTATGTATTTAAATATTTATTTAAAAAATAACAAAATATAAATAAAGATAAGTACATATAAAATGTGTCAACGAAGACCTCATGTCCACCCACACACACACACAGAAATAACCTTAATCTGACAACAAAGAACCTTTCATAAAACAAAGATCCAAATTCATCTCAGTGCAGACTGCTACTTGAAATGAATACTCAATTATTATTATTTCATACCCCCATTTTGAGTGTTTATACATAATCATACACTAAGCATACACGAACTCCCTCACCTTAAGTCGACTTGTGCAGTCCTGGAGTTTGGGACGTCCACCTTGGGTTTGTCCATGGCTCCTCCCTTCACAGAGGTTGCATGACCGACACCCTGTCAACACAAACACACACTCACCATGACTTCAGTTACTCTACAGGACCCAAAACAACCACACCACGCTTCAGTGTCGCCTACTGAGCAGGACGCCGATAGTGTTGAACACAGTTGGCACTGAAATGCTATAACTGCGTCCTTGCCGTCTTTCTCTCGCTGTCCACCTTTCATTTCTTTTTAAGCGATTAATATCTCATCTGGAAACGGCAATCAAAACAGATAAAAGGCAAATGAAAAGAAAACAAACACAAAGATGAAGAAAAACAAAATGATGCACCATAAAAGGGAAAGTCCACTTTCCTCACCGTGGAGCAGTCACTAATTCTGGTCCACAATGCACCCTGTTCTCCACCCAAACATACACACACATACACACAAACACATGGGACCCCCCCTCACGGGACGCAGAAAACACACAAAAAGTGACCTAGATAATATGAGTAGAGAGCAATTATCCCCCCGCTAGGCCACATGCTCCTGAGGGCCACAGGGCCAGCAGAACTGGCGGGGCTATTGTTAATGTGCATCTCCCTCCTGTACTGAGTGCACACTGTTCACATGAGGATGACAACCCAGAGATAGAGAGGCTTTAATGGAAAGAGGGTCGGATGACATAATAGTTCTGAAAAGGGAAAGCAGACACATTCAAGCTTTAAAAAAAAAAAAAAAACTTAATTCACAACATTGATAATAATAAGAGATGTTTTCTTAAGCAGCAAGTTAACATATTAGAATGATTTCTGAAGGATTTTGTGTCACTAAAGATGATTCTGAAAATTCAGCTTTTCATCACAGGCATAAATTACATTTTAAAATAGATTAAAATACAAAAGAGTTCTTGTAAACTGTAATAACATTTCACAGTTTTTATTGCATTTTTGATCAAATAAATGCAGCTGTAGTGAGCTGAAGGCCACCACTGCCAACAATAATTTAAGCAAAACTGAAACTACAGATGTGTTGGAAATGCACTACACAAATAAACTTATAAATAAATGAACAGCAACACAAATGTGTCACTTTCCACGTCTTGTGTGCTTGACGTTAATTGCATTATATAAGTCCTAGCTTGTTTCATAAACAAACATTTTACAACATAAAAAAATTGCAACTTATATGCTGGAAAACAAGGTTCTGCAGGCTTTGATGGAAACTTCATAGAACAACGGGGGGAAAACTGACTCGGGCATGATGTGAGGATTTGGTTGATATGTTTACGACCTAAATATGCTTGAAGTAAACACAGTAAAACATTCATGGTCAGACACATCAGCTGTGCGAGCGGAGGCTATATTAAATATGTGTGTCCTTGGCTCTTGGGGTGCGCAGCCTGTTTACATAAGACTTATGAGCGCTGGCTAAACTCTTGGGAATACAGTAATTTAATAAATGTCAAAGCCTAATGAGAGAGTTTGTAAGAGACTGTGCGTGTGTGTGTGCGCGTGTGTGTGTGTGTAGAGAGAGAGAGATTTGCATCACAAATGTGTTTCTCTATGACCTTTGAGTCCATCACATCCATCCAGCTAACTGTAGATCTGACATATTACAACAGCAAAGCCGGATCATCAATCTACTGTACATGATAACTCAGCACAATTTCTAACATAAGACCTAGCAACAAAAACACTAACCCAAATTGTTAAAAAGTACCATGGTAATGCCACGGTATTCTTTAAAGTACCTTGGTATACAATACTTTACACCATGGTATTTGAGCCTTTTAATGCTTGGCATTTAACTCAACTTTAGCCATCAGTTAGTGTTTACAATAAATATAATTTTCATGAACAAGCTGCTTTTTCGCTGTATTTTTTCTGATCTGATCTAGCAAAAAAAAAAAAGGTCTTGCTGAGTTCAGTGCAATATTGTTCCAGTAAATGTTGATGGTTCAGGAGCAAGTTATGAAATCAAACCGACTAGAACATGTTCCTGGAACAACATTTCATAATGTTGATCAGATCTGATTGTAGGATTAGTTTTGGGGTCTTGAATATTATTTTTATGAACCTCATCATTTTATGAGTAAGGTTGTTCCAGGACCATCAGATCAGAATGGAATGTCCTACTTGTGTAAATCTCGTGTATTTTCTGATTTTGAAAACTCCCTGAAGGAACTCTGAGCTTCATGTTTGTGTTATGGCAGAGAAGGGGAACCCAGAAGCTCTTATCATCTGTCCCAGGTAGGGCTGGGTTTCGAGTTCAAATTTCAAATTTCGATACCTAAGGGGAATCTCATCAGCGTCAGTGAGCCAATAAGCCTGCAGCACTAGCCGGTGTGTTTGACTAGAAGAGGTGCGGCGCAGATTGATCAGTGTTTGACATCCGCGAGAGAGATTCGAAAGTGCACGGAGCAGTCTGCTCTCTTTAGCTTTCGTGGTACTGTAATACACCGATCGGTCTGCACAGTCAGTCCGCGTCAATCGAACACACCTACTAGTTTACACCGGTTACACTCAGAGATGTGGCGCACACGTGAGGCTGTAGTGTGAATGCGTCCCAGCCCCCTTAGATTTAAGGCTACATTTACACTGGTGCGTTTATGTTTTAAAATGAAAACGATCCTCGTCATGCTGGTGTTTCCACTGCGTTTCAAGCCGGCTTTCCACAATCTCCGACAAACTTTCAGTCATTCATTTCCAATGGAGAGTAGCACGGGAGCTGCGTGGAGTTCCGATCATATGCAAATGTCCGTTCATACTACACGACCGAAAGCGCGTGAAAGTTTTTTTTTTTTAGATAATGTAATCTTGTTCAAATTGATTTCATAAAATTGGTATCGAAAAATGTATCGTTCAGGAACCAGTATCGAAGTCAAGGTATCGGTATCAAAACATTTTTGAATGATACCCAGCCCTAGTCCCAGGAGCTCAAGCTCACAGCCGGCGGTCACCTCCACTGAAGCACGGCACACTGTTAAATGATTTGAGGATTTTGTCTGGGCTCTGTTCACATCTCAGCTGTACGTACAGGAGAGCCGGGTAATTATGAGTGAGGGACGGAGATTCTCTGCTCGCTTTGTCGGTCATGTTTTAGACTGAAGACAAAATGATTATCAGATGTGTTGAGGAGGTTGTCTAGACCAGTGTTTCCCAACCGGGGTGCCGTCTGTCGAGAGCAGGAGTGCCGTGTAAAAAATCATTTTTTAATATTTTTAAATAGCTAAAATGTTCAAAAAAGCATCTATTATATAATATCCATTTCTGATGTCGCCAATAATTAGAGATGCACCGAAATTTCGGCTGCCGAAAATTAGTTCACCGCTCAGGATTCACTTTCACGTGGTGTGACGCTCTGCGTATTATTCGCTCTATGCGTGTGCGCTCCGCTCAGTCGCTCCACTCGTATACCGTTCATGCGAATCGGAACAGCAAAGTCCACACAAAAATCGAGCTGACCGGAAACATCGATGTAGTACAGTATTGTTTCTGTCTGCAATAGCCCTACTGTGTTGTAACATGGTGTGGTGTATGGGCAACTCTGGAAACGCCGCCCTCTCATTCCTTGATCTGCTAACCGCTATGTTATGCTCGCGTGTTCTGATAATAATAGCTTTCTAGGACTAAACATTATTTGGATAATTGGTAAAAACATTTTTTTTTAAATATCTTAACCCTACTGTTAGACCTACCTGAAAAACTAAAAAGCAATTTATTTAATTCGAAGCCTGTCGTTATTTTTTATGTGCTATCGTTATTAATTTATTTATTTGTTCTTATTTTATTACTGACTGCTTACTTGTCATTTTTTATTCAATTCAAAGTTTGAAATCAAGCCATCTCGTGCTACTGCACCAAAATTACCCCACTGTAAAATTAAAAAACCACTGAGTGAGCAAAAATTTGTGAGATGGCTAGTTATAATGGTAATTAAATAATGTTTACATATGTATAAAAGCCTACATTAAAATCTGTCATATAAATTGGTCTCTTCATTAGAAATTAGCCTACTTATTGCCACCATTGATGGACAAAAATGTTTAATAATATTAAAAATATCTGTATGACATTATATGTACCGAATATCTATACTTTTCAAATTATCACATCGAAGTTAGAAATTTTAATATTGTGACAAAATTAATTTTGTAGGGTGCCACAAGTTTTTTAAAATTTCCAAAGGGTGCCGCGACTAAAAAAAGGTTGGGAAACACTGGTCTAGACCTTCCAGCACACATAAACATGAACGTGAGATGTGCAATTATGGTCAGCGCTCTAATAAACACCTGGGACCTTGAATTGATTTTCATACAATGCTGTGATCTGGGGACAAGCCACTGAAAAACTGCTTGTTTACTTTACAGATGACATATCATGAAAATCGGACTTTTCCAGGTTTTAAGTTCTATAATCAGGTCCCCAGTGCATCTACCAACCAAGGAAACGTGAAAAAGATTAACCAGGTAACTCTGTTTTGGTAAGCTTTTTTCTGCAAGCGTCTGAGAAAACGAACGCGTCTGATTTCGCTCCCTTGGTGACGTGGCAAAGGGATCTCATTATAATATTACCGCCCCTTAATCTGTAAGTTTACACCCACGGCGCCGTCATTTGATTTCGCAAGCGACAACGGTGTACCAGTTCTAACACCATAACTGACTGTTTTTTGTAACTCATGTGTGTTTTTAACGTAAACTTGTGTGTGAAAGCTCATTCTGATTCTGAATGAGAACTTAGTTTAGTACTCGCATGCTGTGACAGCCGCTTTCTGTCCGTGTGCTTCAGATGTGTGCACTCAGAAAACCGTATATCAGACGTTTAAACTCATATGGTTTAAAACGCATGATTTCAGTGCGATAAACATTATAATCAGAACCAAAACAGATGTATTTAGCAGGTCTGAGCTGTAATGGCTCTATTCTGGAAAAGGGGGCGGGGAGCAGCAGCTCATTTGCATTTAAAGAGACAGGCCCGAAAAACAGCGTGTTTCTGCTTCCACTCAAAATAGGCATTTTCAAAATAATATAATAAATGATCTGTGGAATATTTTGAGCTAAGACGTCA